ACACGCTTGATTGTAAATTAAAAATGAAGGGTTTGCAATAAAATAACATCCGGAAACGCCTTAGGATTTTGTCAAGGGATGTTTGAAGAATATTTGAGAACTTTGGCAACATCAAAATTTTTAATTTTTATTGTTGTTTTTCATACTTGAAAGTGGCGATTTTCACGGTTTTTTAAACTTTGTACAATTAATATCTCGAAAAGTATTGATTTTAGAGAAAATTTGCAAGACATCTTTTTTGTTTAGAATTGTCCAAAAAAGCTAAAAAAATTTTTTCCAGGGCAAAATAAACAATATTTTTAATTTGTTTAAAAAATTTTGTTTAAACATTTTTCCTACAACTTTGAAACCTGGTAACATGCAAATTCGTTTTTAAGTGATCATTTTGCGTAAGATCATGCAAAAAAATCCTATCCAAATAATTTCTCCCACAAATTCCAGATTACGACCCAGACTACTTCCATGCGTCTCCAAAGGATGTGCTTACATGCCCATTTAAACGCGAATCCGTAGGCGAGGAGGAGGGCCCTCTTCTATATGGTGGGAAAATGGGAATGCTGGATAAGACTATTGAATAGGAAGGTGAGAAATAGTAAAATGACTAGAAGCACGAGGCGAAGCATTTGGTTGGTAAGACCGTCATGACCTGTTGCCTTTGATGTCGATGCGAGGATTGCTTGCTGAATTTCGTTTGATGATGTGGGTGAAAAGCTAAATCGACGCGCGGGTGCATGAAGTTGTGAAGTGCTATTGTGTAGCGAGTTGAGGTCATCTGTGGTGAGCAGCGATTGTGTGGATGAGACCGATGAGTAGGTGTCAAGGAGTGTGTCTGGTGAGAAGAACTGTGTAGGTGTGGGAAGTGAGGTGCCGGTGAAATTTAGATTACGGAGAGCAGACAATTTGTCTTTGGTATTTGAGGATGAGTCAATAAGATGAGCGAAGTATGAATTTTTGACGGTGGATAGGCTATTCGAAACTATGCTGCGAAGGAGGCGATAATGATCAATGTCGGGGATTAATCTCGAGTGCCTGGCGTTACGATAGGCTCGATCCCGAGCCGACATCAGTTCTCTGATTTGAGGAGTGACCCAGGGCTTTCTACGAGATGACAAGGTGATTTGTTTGATCGGGGCAAGATTGTCGAAGGCATCTAACAAAATCGTCGAAAACCGGGATGTGAGGGTGTCTAGTGGCTGCGGATTTACGGAAGTGATGGATGTAGTGAGTGATGAGAGAGAATCAGAGATATGTAAAGAGAGTAGTTCAGAGTTGATGTGTTTGAGGTTGCGTGACGGGATGATTTTAGTGATGCGTGGGAGCTGCATGAAGCGAAGGGCGATCTCAATCCAGTCATGCCTGGCTAGAAAGGGTGCGGCAGACTGTTGATAGTAAATGAGTGCAGTGGGGTCTTTTATGATGAATATGTCGATCCAGGTATGAGATAGGTTGTTGCGATAGAAGGCGTGGTGAGTTGGCTTGGATGGAACTAAATATAGTGAATTTTCGGCGATTTTGCTGGCAAGAAACTGAGATGAAAATGATGGGGTGAGCATGTTAATATTAAAGTCGCTTGTGATGATGATGTTTTAATAGGCAGGCAGATGGTCTAAGAGGGTGTCGAAAAACTGGTGAGGAAGGGCGGCAGAGGGTCAACGGTAGACTATTGCCAATAAGGCTTTGTGCGATGCTGTGGAAATTTCAAGGATGAGGAATTCAGGCGTGTTGTCGAAGTTGGAGTCTGAGCTTGCAAGGACGGTGGTTTTAAACGAATCACGTATGTAGGCATCAACACCACCCCCCTCCTTCCCCGCTCTATCAACACGAAACAGAGAATACCCCTGGAGACTGACTACTGAGTCCAACGTGTCCTGTGTAAGAAAGGTTTCGGTGATGGCCATGATGTCGGGGGATCTATCGACAGCAAGGAGTTCAAGTTGCGC